ACAGACCCAGCCGCCTTTGATTTCCACATGGAATTTCATCCGCATCTTTTGCTTCAGCCGGACCGTCTACTTGTACCTCCCTATTCCGCACCGGATGCCTCTGTATCAGCAGGGACGAGTGTTGCTAACGGTACCGCTGTGTCGCCTAGCCTTGGCCCTGTGTCAGCAGGTGGAGCTCCAGCAACAGGTGTATTGGCCTCATTACCTTCACGTATCTGGCAACTGGATGAGTTGGAAGAAGACAAGAGCCGTGTTTATTTGACTGAGCTTATCGAACGAGAACCCATCGTGCACCTTGTAAGAAGCGTGCGTACTGCTATGAGAGATCTTTGTATGATATTCTATGACTGTGTTGCGCCTCAAGGTATTTATGTGATTACAATCACATCCTCTCCCATGAGAGAAGTCTGCAAGCAGATCCATGACGACATTATTCGCGTAAGTCACGGGGCGCTTCTCCCATTTCATTGCCTGCCTGCCGTTGGGGCCACAGAGAAACAAGCAAAAGTAGAACGAAGGCCGTTCCCTAAGAAGCCCATGAAACACACGGGAGGGAACGTCACTGCCTCCGCCAAAGCAGAGGCGGATCCAATCGCAGCAGACACCTCAAGAAAGGTTGTCGGGGGAAACGGAGAAAGGAACAGGCATCCAAAACGTCCCCGGAAGTTTCCTGAAAACGAAAATGCAGGAGCGACGTCGCGCTCCGACTGTCCTCAAAAGAAAAGTCGCCAAGAAACGGCACATGCCGTGAAGAACAGGAAGAGTGAACAGACGGCAGGCTCCGCCAAAAAGAAAAAAAAGGTAAAATGAACATAATTGAGACACGGCAGCTCCCACTCTGCCTACGATTAAGCGCTTCTGTCAGAGTCGGCATGATAAAAGAAAAACCATGAATTATTCAAAGAAAATAAAGAAAGGGGGGGAAAGAGCGTGGAATGAAATGATGAGTGGGATCGGAAAACAACAAAAAAAAAAAAAAAAGAGAAGGAAAGAAAAGAAAAGGGTGATTCGAGACATCAATGCTGAGAACGGAATGAATAACTGCAAGGCATCAATATCCAAAAGGAGCTCGAAATGTGTTTTTTTATTTTTATTTTTTACTTCCTTTTTTTTTTTTTTACTTTTGAAGCACTTGGTGATGCGGTGGTTTACTTGGCTGCTGCTTCCGCAGAAGCGTCTGAATGCGAATACGCGTCGACTTCCCATAAAAAGGAAAATCTCTTCTCGACACTCGCTTTGTCGTGGGGCGCTTCTTGCGGAGTTGGACCGAAACCCCAACGACAACGATATTGCGGCAGGGACGAACGATGTTGTTGAATCAACAGCCGCGACATCACCGGCCGCATTGTCCGCATCATCTCTTTACGGTGACAACAAGTACCTTGTTCCATCACCGTTTGCGAAAAAACTTGAGGAAACTTTGATGGCTGTTGACTTATCGCCAGGGCACATCTCCTCAGTTTCAGTACATTCACGTGGGGTGAGGGACGGATCACAATTACCCTCTCTGGACACATTAAAGGCACAAGAAAGGGCACTTCGAACAATGTTTGCCGACGCCAAATGCCGCTGTATTCGCATGCAGAAGGATCGGGAGTGGCTTAGAGAGGAACGGCGTGCTTTTCAGCTGTCACATGGTCGTCCCCCATCGAACCAGGAGGTGAGTCCATTTGTCGATATTGAGCTCTCTCCCGTAGCAGCTCTGAAACTATCGAAATGCCTCT